AGAGTCTCTGCCCTCATGGAATTATTCCACCGTGTTCTGGAGCCCTGTGGGTCAGATGAGAARAATGGGAAGTCTCTAACTACCCATCAGTGCACAGAACACGACAGCCTGAGGACTTAGCAGCATTTGGTCTTGCTCCTCTGCTAAACTTCTTACTGCCTGAGACCCCATGTGGCAGGCTTTCCGCCTCAGGCACACCCAGAGGATGGTTTACCCAATTAATATTTGAAAGTTGGACCCTGCAAGGAATGGGACAATAGCTTTTCTTAAGTTCCCATTGGTAGTGTTTGCTGTAACTGGACCCAGCCGCTGGGCGTAGATTGACAGATTCAGGTCTTGGTCCTCTTGCGTTATAAGAACCAGCAGCGGCCCTAGGACCCTAGTTCTAGTTGTGACTCTGTTGCGGGCGGTGAAGTCACCTACCTCCAGAGTCCTAGGTTTAGTTATACATACATGTATACATGTATGTGCATATGTACTTATAATCCGGGCGCCCTACTACTGAGTTCCAGCCCCAATCCTTTTTATTTTTTAATTTGAGACGGTCTCGCTCTGAGGTACTCGCTGATTTGCCGAGGCTGGCCTGGTACTTGCAATTCCGCCTCTGGCGGCCCCCCTTGGCCCGACTGCGCGAGGTGGGGCCGAGGGGGCGGGGCCTCCCCCTGTCGGGGGCCGCATCCGCCGGACGCCGGAAGTGCCTCTCCGCCCCTGCCACTAGACCATGGAGACTGTGGCACAGTAGAGTCCGGTGTGAGGATTGTGGGGGCAGTGGCCATGGAGGCCGTGCTGAACGAGCTGGTGTCTGTGGATGATCTAATGGTGAGGCCTGGACCCCAGGAAGGCAAAGGGGAAAGTCGGAGGGCGGGTCCTGAGGAGAATAGGGCAGGGGATAAACCCTCTCCCCACCTCCGCGTCGCCGAAGGAAACCGAACTACGGCTCCCGGCAGCCTCTGCGGCGCCCGGCTCCTACCCCAAAGCGCTGTTTGTCCCGGAGGCTGATGGGAGTGGTAGTTCTTGGGTCTCCTCACCTCAGACGTAGGGCCTGGAGTCTTGACGATGGAAAGGGTGACGGGTTCTGGGTTCGTGCGGAGTTGTAGCTCAGGATGCGCCTTCCGTTGCCAGGGAATACAACTTTTAACCTTGAATCCCGCATGGTGCTGAGTTCACAGCGTGCCAGGTCTCACTCTTCGTAGCTCTAGGAGATAAGCGCTGGTTTTAACCGTGTCTTGCAAATAGGATAAGGTCCAGACCCGGTAGGGTGGGGCAGTGAGGCCAGCAGCCTCGGGCTAAGACCGCGTAGGCTGTTGTTGAGCAGTTGGGACAGTGTGTTTACTGTTCAGCCACTTTGGGTCAGCTGCTCCTGGAGCGGTGCCTGGATCTGCCACCAGGTGGCATCTCCACTAGATACCAGTAGGGGGAGGGCGGAGGAAGGGGCCCTTCGTCCAAGGAGGTCGTCCACCAGCCCAGGGAGCACAGTTCTTGGATCATGGGTTGGGGGTGGCAGAAGCTGGGGTGCTGGGTACCAAGACCTGCGAGGGCAAAGACAGGAATGGAGTGTGACTGGGACATGGACAGCAGGTCCAGATAGAGTGTGCTTGCACCCTTGGTTTTTAAACGATTCCTCTCCTCTCCTACGGCAGAAGTTTGAAAAGAAATTTCAGTCTGAGAAGGCGGCAGGCTCAGTGTCCAAAAGCACGCAGTTTGAGTATGCCTGGTGCCTGGTGCGGAGCAAGTACAATGAGGACATCCGGAAAGGCATTGCACTACTCGAGGGTGAGGCTCTGGGCCGCCGTCGCTGTTCTCTGTTGCATCGGGCCCAGCCTTGTCTGCTGCCATTGGCCTCGTTCGCCTCCTTTGTCCAAGCACTGCGATCCTTTCCATCAGGGGACCCTTACCTTACAGTACAGTCACTTCATAGTAATTCCCAGCAGACTCTCCGTAGCAAAGGGCTGCACAGTTGGCCCTCCATATCYGCAGGTTCCACATCATGGATTCATTCAGATAAAACATTTGATATAAAACAAAACAACAAAAATATTTACTAAAGTGTACAGACCTTTTTTACTTGCTGTTATTCCCAAGACAAAACAGTATACCAATTGCTAATGTAGCATTTGTATTGTATTAAATATCATAAGTAACCTAGAGAGAATTTAAAGCACGCAGGAGGATGTGTAGGTTTTATGCAAATATTACAATTTACTTAAGAAACTCTAGCATCTGTGGGTTTGGGAATCTGATGGGGCTCCTGGAACCAATCTGCCAAGAATAACAAGGGACAGCTCTACCAGTAAAAGATGCTTGTTGTAGATCTGTAAAACTAAGAGTTTTAATGCAAATACCATCACTCTACATTGTCTGTTTCGCAATTCAGATTTTTCAGGTTTACCCCACACTAGGGCACAAAGGTAGAAGTGGTCTCTAGCCATTGCTCGTGTAGTTGAGGAGACATTAGGCACTTGAAATTTTAAGCACCTGCAGAACTACTTAGTGACAGATCCTGATGCTTGAGAACAGCCACGCTCAGTCCCCTGGGAAGTCACTGAATTGGGAAGTAATCAGGTGGGTTTTTCCAGGGAAGTGAGTTAAGGAGGAGGGAATACAGACTCCTCCCCACCACACACACGGGAATTGAATCCAGGAGCACTTTACCACTGAGCTGCATCCCTAGCCCTTTTTATTTTTCATTTTAAGACGGGATCTGGTTAAGTTGCTTAGGGCCTCACTAAATTGCTGAGGCTGACTTTGTCTCCTAAATTGCTGGGATTACAGGCGTGTGTTACCACACCCAGCTTTATTTTACTTTTATTTTTATTTTGAGGCAGGGTCTCACTAAATTGCTTAGGGCCTTGCTAAGTTGCTGAGGCTGGCCTTGAATTTGTGATCCTCACGCCTCAGCCTCGGAGTCSTTGAGATCACAGGTGTGTGCCTCCACACCCATCTGTGCAAACATTTGTTTTTAACAATAATTGGGCAGCAGGTAATGGCATTGAAAACAACGGGTGCCTGAGCTAAGTAGAGCTTCCTTTTGACTTCAACGGGTGCCTGAGCTAAGTAGAGCTTCCTTTTGACTTCCTGTCCTTAGGTTCCTGTGGTTCACTCCAATGGACCATAGTGACTGTAATATTGATTCCAGGGTGTCCGTTATTGGGATGTTGTGGCAGCCTCTGCTCATGGTGCCCCAGAGCTCTGACTGGGAAGCTGAGAGTGACAGTAGCTGACATGGACAGAGACCTTCCTGGGACCTTAGAGGGATCTGGAGTGTGGCAGGGTCTGTGGGATGTGGTATTAGGAAAAGAAAGAAGCCATTTTTTCACCCTCTTTTTTTCTCCCTTTCCCAGAACTACTGCCCAAAGGGAGCAAAGAGGAGCAGCGGGATTATGTCTTCTACTTGGCTGTGGGGAACTACCGGCTCAAGGTGAGCCGCCTTTCTGCCCCAGGGTAGAGCCCTGGGCCTCAGAGAGGCTGAAAAAGGCAGTAGGCAGGGGGTGGTGTGAGGTCTCTGGTGCAAGTTGATACCAGGACTGTTTCAGAGGGAAGGTGAGAGAGGATCAGGGTGCCAAGGGTGTGGGGACAAGGTGACGTCAAGATTGGGGTGTAGCCTCAGGCTTGGGCTGTTATCTCCCCTGGCTTATCACCCCAACACAGTTGGGGTTGTTTGTGGACTCTACTCCATCAGGTGGGGCTGGAGGGAGGACAGGGGAGGTTCAGGCAGGGCTGGGGGTGAGAGAAAGAAAGACTCTTCCTGGCAGGAGGGGTCCTGGAGCCCCAGGGTGCAGGTGACTTGCTATGCATTTCCCCTGAGTGCAGGAGTATGAGAAGGCCCTGAGGTACGTGCGCGGGCTGCTGCAGACAGAGCCCCAGAACAGCCAGGCCAGGGAGCTGGAGCGGCTCATCGACAAGGCCATGAAGAAAGGTGAACGYCTCGCCCCGGGTTAAGTCCTCGTCCTTCCCAGGGCCCCATGGAGTATCCATAAAGGAGCCCCTCCAAGCAGTCACTCCCAAGAAGGCCCCTGTCTCCTGCCCTGGAGCTCATAGCCTTTGACTCTGTTGGGAGGCACGGGTCTTCTGTGGAGCAGAGGGACCAGGGCGGTCCTGGCCAGGGTCCCTATGGGCTGCCAAGCTCTGACGGCCTCCCTTCTCCTTCTCTGTTCCCTAGATGGACTAGTGGGCATGGCCATCGTTGGAGGCATGGCCCTGGGCGTGGCAGGACTGGCTGGACTCATCGGGCTGGCCGTGTCCAAGTCCAAATCCTGAAGGAGAGCACGCCTGCTCCTCTGCCCAGGGCACTCGGGAGCTATGGTGGACACTCAGAGCAGGGCCCCGCCATCCTTATGGGCCTTCCCTGTTCTTCCCTCGCATCCTCATCATTGTCCTCTGCGGCCTTCAACCTCTGTCTCCCCAGACCTGTTGTGTAGCCCCAAGTCATGTGCCATGTGTGAGTGTAAATAAAGCTGGGCTGTGGCTTGGGAACTTCCTTGCCTATGTCGGGGGATGGCACTGTGCATAGGTGGGCTCACCCCTGGCCCTTTCCTGCCCTGTGCCCTCTTGTTCCTGCCCTCCAGGCCAATGTGGGGGTCTCCTTTGTCCACAGAGCAGCCCAGTCCACACCCTTCCTTCCTCCCCTTCCCCAAAGCCGTGTCCTTGAGCAGCAGCAGACAGCACAGGACATGGCCTTTCCATGGCCCAGAATCCTGGGAGAAAGCAGCCACCAGCGGGAAGGGCATCCAAAGCGAGGCTGGGATTTACGGCTCCGTCTCCTCTGACCCACTCAGCTGCCTCGCAGCACGTGGACTTTTCCACTGCGACCCTTGGGCTTCCTCCACAACCTCCGCCCTTCCCTCCCTTTGTCTTCCTGCGCCTCCCCTTCYTCCTGCCCCATCCTTCTCCTTAGGGAAAGGGGGGCCCCAGTGGAGAAGGAAGTTCTTTTGGCATGGGGGAGGCAGGGGTTTGGGGGGAGGCTAGGGGCACAGAGTGTCCAGGTTCCAGCTTATGGAAGAGGAGACAGGCTCCGCCCCACCAGGTCTGCCCCACGCCCCCTCGTGCCAGGCTCTGCGTGGGCCTGCGCTGCTTGCCGCATACCTCTCGTTCCTCAGCCCCCGCCAGGCCAGCAGGGTGGGAGGAGGCACCTGAGGGAGACATGAGGACCTGGCGCAGTGGTGAGGAACAGGGCGGACACCCCCAGGAGTGAACTAGAGCTGTCCCAACCTTGGCCTTGGAGCAGGTGCTTATCCTAGGTTGGGGGGACTCTGGGGTTTTGATCCATCATGATTAATTGAGTTGGTAACAGCTTCTGGTAACTGAAGTGCTAGGAGAGATTAGCCACAGGCTCATGTCCCAGACCTGTGATCTGCTCCTGGGGCCCCTTGGCAGCAGGATCAAACTYGATGCCGAGAGTCAAAGGTCAGCTCAAAGGGGGAAATTCAAGTTCAGGAAGTTTGGAGGAAAGTTACTGCTGGCCTCACCTCAGTCCTGCCGCCCTCAGATCTGAGATGGTCCCCAAGCATGGAGCAGTTGGAGTGTGTGGGGAGCTGTGATCTCTGGTCCCCGTTCTTATTATGACCTGTAAAGCCAGTACCGGGGCTCCAGATGGCTAACAGAAAAAAAGTGGAGCTAAATAAACGAGCCTGGCCACTTTGGTAACCGATGGAGTCTAATTTGAATCCAGGTTGCCGGACACCAGGTCTCTCCCACTCTTGGAGACCCAGGGGTCCTAGAGGTGTGGTTCTTCCCATGCAGAGGGAGTGGCCCTGCCCCCTGTCCTCCATGGAAGGCATGTCTGTCAGGGTTCACTCCACCTCTTGTCACGCTCCTGCTCTCAGTCCCCTTTTCTCTCCTTGCTCCTCTATTCCATTCTCTGGCCCCAAATGAAAGCTGAGTCAGAGACAGCCGCTTCCCCCTTGGCTCCTGAGTCCTCCCAGGCCCCTCCTAGGCCGGATCCGTTAGTCTTCTAAGTCCTCTCCCCCCACCCTCGAGGGGCGGGGAGTCCAGGCCAGCCTAGAGGCTGGGGGAGGGGGTGGACTTTTGGCCTGTTTATTCCCTCCATCGTCAACAGCTGCTGCCACACAGGCTTGGCTCATTCCTCTGACCTGTCAGGAAGCAGAGAGACCCAGAAAGGAGGGAGTCAGAAACCTGGAGACGGAAGGACCTGAGCCCGAGGAGAAACGGGCAGAAGCCACGGCTGGATTCCCCTCCTTCCCCTCCGCCTGCCTCAACGCTCCTCCTTAGCCAAGCCCCTTCCACTTCCCGGGGGCTCCACCCCTGCCCCTCTCTGGGGCCCAAGCCCCTCAGGGGCCTGCTGTCCCAGGATGTCGATAGCTGTGGAGAGCCTTGGCTTCTTCATGGCAGCCCTGGGGCTGCTGATGCTGGGGGTGACCCTGCCAAACAGCTACTGGCGAGTGTCCACCGTGCACGGGAACGTTATCACCACCAACACCATCTTCGAGAACCTCTGGTACAGCTGTGCCACCGATTCCCTGGGAGTCTCCAACTGCTGGGAGTTCCCGTCCATGCTGGCCCTCTCTGGTACGGGGTGAGGAGAGCTTCAGGGAGCAGAGGGAGGGGGGACAGGCTTGGAGAGACCCCAAGGGAAGGGGTGGCTGTCTTTGGTCTGACCTTCGGTGCCATAAGGATGCAGGAAGACGGGTCAAGCTCTGAGTCCTGGGCTGCTATAGCCAAGAGCACTGGGCACTCCAGCCTGGCTCTGGAGTGAGACCTTGTTATATTTGGCCCCTGGTCTAGTGGAATCCTCCACCAGTGGTTGTAAGAGCAGGCAGCAGAGTCATCAAGCTGCCATGTGCGACACCTGCCCTGGCTAGCTCTGTGCCTCGGGTGAGGAGACAATGGGCTTGGTATCGGCCACCTGCAGGCTGGGACCATAACAGCACCAGCCCTCRGGTGCTGGTGAGGATCACATGCAGCAAAACCTGCAGACCCTGGCTCCCTGTTGTCACATATGCACATTTTATTCTGGGTGGGATCGCTGGGTTGGCAGGGTGAGGAGGCCCCATCTTGGCCTCTGAGCAGTTGATAGGCAGCAGGTCTCAGTGACCAACCAAGCATCCACGCTGGGCTGCTGGTCTCCCTGCTGTGCTGAGCTGTACAGAGCCCCCAGCAAGGCCAGGTTGCAGTGGACGAGCGGCCAGGCAGTCTGAATGGAGGTGGTGGGCACGCCCGGGCACGTGTCTGGGGTTTTCCACGCCATGTATTCTGAGGTTCTTAGAAGGCTAAGCCTACAGCTCCAAGGTAGGCCCAACCAGTTCTTTCCGATGACCACAGCTTCTCCTGCTGCCTGCTCACCCTTGACTGGCCATCTTCCCACAGAGCCTCCTCTCAGTCTGCCCCTGTGCCAGAGACCAAGAGTGAACCCTCTGTGGGCACCCCCACACACACTGAGTCCTTGGGAGTCTTCTTGACCTTCCTGGCTCTGCATGGCAGGTGATGGGTGGGCAGAGAGGAACTGAGGCCAGCACTGGGCAGGAAAAAGGTGGTGAGACTGCCGCAGGAGTGCTGGAGAGCCTCAGCTGGGCCTGGCTGGGTCTCTTGTGCCCCGCTCTTCCCAGACTCTTGAGGCAGCTGTAGGGGCTTCATGCTTTTCAGCCATCTCCCCAGGACCTGTGTGCAGGACAGGTGTCCCCCAAAGATTCCTAAAAGCTGAGTACAGTCTGGACCAAAAGCCCAGGGTGCTGAGTGGCCAGAAGAGACAGTGGGGGTAACTGGCCCGGCAACCCAGCCAGCCCAGTGCATCCATGTCTGGCACACTGAGCCCCGAGAGGGACCCATGGGGCACTGCTGCTCTTGGCCTGCAAGAGGTCCCAGTGCAACAATGTGCAGGAGCATCTGGAGGGGAGAGCAGAGGGCCGCGGTGCTCCAGCCTGTGCTTCCCCGTCCAGCTGTGCTGTTGCAGTGGTCTGTAGTCACCTGCTGCTGGGTGGGGCATTGACCTCATTTCACAAAGCTGAAGAAATTCTGTAGGGTGTAACAGCCTAGAGCCACAGGAGGTGAGGGCTGCTGAGACTCCAACTTATGGTGCCTGAGCCCAGGGCCCAGTTGATTCCTCCATAGCCCATTGTGGTCCAGAGAGGGATCCTGGCCCTCATTCAGCCACCCGCCAGCTGTGCACCCCAACTTCCACTTGGCCACCAGAGCTCCCTGAGGATTGAGAGTTGGGGTGGGGAGGGAGTGGCYGGGAGTCAGAATGTCCTCTCAGAGAACTTTGTCCCTCCTCCCTGCTCCCCAACTTCAGGCCACTTACCTCTTCCTGGCAGGGACCCAGCCTTTCTCCTTCAGCACCCATGCTGCTGCCCCACCCAGGAAAGGGGAGCAAGGTCCTCAGGAGCACTTAGCAATTATGGAAGACAGGGGAGGAGGGGCTGGCAGCTTCCCTCAGTTTTGCAAAAGGGGAAACTGAGGCATCAAAGAATATGAGCTAGACAAACTCGGATGATCCTGCGCCCAGGTGTCCCACCTTCCAGGTCAGAAACTGCCCTTGACCCTCTGCCATAGGCCACTGCTGCCCCCTTCAGGTTACTCTGGGAAGAAACTGTTGGAAGTGTCAGGCATTGTGCTTGAGCTCTGGGTGGGACTTGGAGAGCCCTTGGATGCGGGGTGGGGATGGGGAAGGTGAAGTTTCTATAATGTATAGTAGAACATGGGCCTGATCTGATGGAGTGGCAATTCTCAGCCAGCCTGGCTCTGCACTTTGCCTCAGCTTGGGAGGAGCAGGGGTTGCTACAGCATCCTGTAGGCAGAGGTCCAGGGTGCTGCAAAATTCTCCATGATGCATAGGACATTCCCTGGGAACTAGGTCCCCAGCCCAGAGTCAGTAGTGAAACCCATGGAAAAGGTACCAACAAAGTGCACCTGGCTGGGAGGAGGAGGGCATGGGTGGGAAGGGCGTGGATGCACAGGGAAGGAGGCTGGAGGACTTCGAGGGACAGCAAGGCTTGTGTCTGAGCAAGGGCCACAGAGGCTGCTCTGGGCCATGGAGGTGGGAGAGATGGGGGAAAGACTGATGCCTGTGTCCCTCCCCAGGGTACGTCCAGGGCTGCCGTGCGCTCATGATCACCGCCATCCTCCTGGGCTTCCTTGGCCTCTTTCTAGGCATCCTGGGGCTGCGCTGCACCAAAATCGGGAGCATGGACCTCTCCAGGAAAGCCAAGGTGGCAGCCATCGCGGGAGCCCTTGACATGCTGGCTGGTAATTGGGGGAAGGTGTTGGGTGAGCTTGGGGTAGCCCTTGGCCACAGACTACGGGCTTCCTGCCCCATGTCCAGCTCCCCACTCCTGGCACATGCAGCTCCTTCCCCTTTGCCTTGACACCTGCTGGGCTCTTCCCTGGCTCCCTGCCATCCCACCCTCATCTGAACCTCCAGTCCCATCTACAGTTCAGTCCTCCACCAACACACACACACCCGTACAGTGTAGAGTAACAATGCCAAGACTCGCCACTAGTGTTCCATTTGTACATTTTCACACCTCTCATCTCATGATAAGTCTGCAAGGTAGGGTGGGCATTGTCCTGTTCCAGATTTGAAAAGCTCCGAAAGGTCAGGTGGTTTCCTGGAAGACAGGCCCCCAGCAAGGGGAGTGGTGACAGCCCAGGGCTTGGTGGGATTTGGGATTCCAAAGGAAAGGGCCATCAGGGCAGTGGGTGGGGAGACTTGTACAACTGGGCTTTGCAGGCTGGGTAGGACAGATTCCAGGTGAGGCCAGGAGTGCCAGGGCCCTCAGGTTGGGATGAACAAGGCAGTTCTGAGGCCAAGGGGGGCCGGGATTGGATGGAGAGTGCCAGGAAGGGAGGTCAGAAGTGCTGGATTGAGACCTTTACAGTTGACTCCCAGGATGGGAAAGTTTATAGGCTGGGGCGGAAGAAAGGAATTGAAGTGAAATGGTTACCCTTGGACTTGATGCCCTCCATCCTACTCAGGAAGACCCCTGCCTGACCCTTCTTAAGCCCCCACACCAACCTCCTGCCTGGGCCATGCTGACCCAGGGCACTAGTGCGGTTCTCCCGCCTCCCCAGGGGCCTGCGGGATGGTGGCCATCTCCTGGTACGCCGTCAACATCACCCAGGACTTCTTCAACCCCCTCTACGTTGGAACCAAGTGAGTGAGAAGCTCCGCCCTCTGGGACAGCTCGGGTGGAACTCGGCCCTGTCCCTCTGGCCCGCGCTCACCTCCTGGCCCCCACCCCCGCGTCGCCCTTGCGTCCAGGTATGAGCTGGGCCCCGCCCTCTACCTGGGCTGGAGCGCCTCCCTGCTCTGCATCCTCGGTGGCATCTGCCTCTGTTCCAGCTGCTGCTGTGCCTCCCAGGAGGACCCCACCGCAAGGTGAGAGAGGGGAAGGACAGGGTGGAGGGCAGGGAGCAAGGGTCGCACCTCCCTGTGACGGCCCCCTTCTCCCCACAGGGCCCAGCTTACCTATAAGACTTCCACAGTCGTGATGCCCACCGCCACCTCAGATGAAGGTGACAGCAGCTTTGGCAAATACGGCAAAAATGCTTATGTGTAGGAGTTTGGGCCAGCGGAACCCATCTTCTTTCCCACTGCCCAGTGGAGAGGGGTCTTTAGGACCCTGGGGCCCATCTTCCCTTTAAAAACCTGCAGCAGGCCACACTCCAGGCCACGCCCCTTGCCTGGAGGCCACGCCCCATCCTGGACTCTTCTATGGCCTGTCTTCTTCCGAGGCTGGGCGTGAGGGGACGGAGGTGCCCCCACTACCTGGTTTGTGCGTTCTATATAAATACATGCATAAATAAATGTGTTTTGTGACTGTTCAGGGCTGAAGGTGTCAGGAAGTGGGGGCTAAGCAAGGGGGAGAGGTGGGGCCAGGGAGTGAGTCAGTTCTTAGACCCCTGTTGTTCTGTCTACCACTTCTGGGCTGTCTTGTCCAGCAAAACAGAGGCATTGCTAGCGATTTCCAGAGGGTGGTACATAATTACTACCAAGAGTCATCTTGGACCAGATATGGGAAGCCCCACCTCCAGGTTCTTGGAAATATCAGAGATTCCCAGGATCAGCTGGCAGTGATAACAAGCCACTCCTGATGATTTCTCAGAGCTCCTTAAGGGGACAGTTGGTTTGGAGCAGTTTCTTACCTGGGCCTGAGCAGGGACATCAGGAATGGGCAGCCCCTTTGGAGCTCTGGATCAAGTTAGCTGGGTGTGGTGCCTGTACATTTCTCTGGGGGGAGGTTCCAGAAGCCTAGACGGTGTCCCCCTCAGCATAGGTTGGGGGCAGGCGTGGCACAGGCCCAGCTCTACTCGGTACCCATTCAAGACAGGAAAATGAGGCCACAGGACAGAAGCCTGGCATCCAGTGACAGCAGAGAATAGGGGCCCAGCCCAACATGTATCCCCTGCCACAGGACCTGGTGATGCCTGGATCCCCTCAGCAGTCCCCTCCCTTTCTCTTCAACCTTATCCACTTACCTGCACCGGCTCTTTCCTGCAGGCCTCTTCGCACCCCTTCCTTTCAGGGAGATGCGCCCAAACCAAGTTCCACAACTGAGCACTAAGTACCATGTGCCTTAATAAGGTGCTAGGCTAAGTTTCCATTCCTCTGGCCATCAATGGTCACATGATTAAAGGAGTTAGGGACATTTTCCCCTTTTCACTATATTTGCTGAGTTTCTTCTCACTAGAAGCTGGGGTGGGCACCAAAACATGGACTTTGCCCTCAAAGAACTCAAACTTGGAGCAAAGAGGAATGTCAACCAGAAGCTGCCATCTGATGTCTAACGACAAACCACTCCGGCTCTTGGGCAGTGCAGCAATAGCTGTCAATCCTGGGTGCTCACAAGCTGCGGGCACTGGGTGCGAGTTTTCCCAGTCCTTGCAATACCTGGGAGGTGGCTGTACCAAAAGCAGAGGCAAAGGCACCTGCCCAGCTGCACAAGTAGGAAGCAGTGGGGCCGGGATTTCTCTAAGACTGAGGATAGCTGATGATGCCTCCCAGAATCCTCAGCTATCCTAACGCAACTAGCAGCAGTGCTCACTGAGCTCTTTAGGAATAAGTCCCCAGTCTCCAGCCTTCCAGAAGGTGGCACCAACCTCTTCTTCCTGTGTTCCCAGGAAGGGTGGTGCTACTCCATCATGACACTAGGTTTAACTTCTAGAAACTGTTGGAATAGTGTAGATTTCCCAAAGACCAGGGGTCTAACAAGTCAGCAAACAAGTTTCCCGTTTAAAAAAAAAAAAAAAGCTGGCAAATCTTGTTCAGGCCTTTCCTTAAGAAGTTCTAGTTTAAAATAGGGATCCACGCTTCTTAGAGAATGTTCTTGGATGACCAGGGGAGCCAATCAGCATCAGAGCACCAAGACGTCACTGGGGTTAGGAACCATCCTCACAAGGTCACTTGGGAAGGTGCTGGGAGGAGAGATCTTACACCAAGCAGAACCTACATGACTCCATTTATAATAACAAAACATGAAGCAAGGCCCTTGAGGGTAGGAATGAACCAAAGAGTAGGCTGCGCTGACACACTGAGTCTGACGCAGTGTTTCTCCACCAAGAAGGGCTTTTCTAGGCTCAGGACATAGCTCGGGTGGTAGAGCACTTGCCTTGCATGAACAAGGCCCTAGGTTCAATTCCCAGCACCACACACACACAAAAAAAAGGGCTTTTCTACTTTCCTTTTCTGGCCTGTGTACTTCTTGGTGAAGAGGAAAGATGAATTAAAGGTTCCGGACCCCAGAGTTTCATTTCCTGGGAGAGACAAGAGGAAGAGGCCCAGACAGGAGTTGCTGCCAGCAAACTGAGACTCCTGGTGTCCTTGTTACTACTACTAACAAACCATCTCAAGACTCAGCAGCATAATTCCACTATTTTATTCTGCACACAGATTCTGTAGCTCAGGAATCTGAACAGGCACAGCACAGCCAGGCGGCTTCTCTCTCTCTGGATGTGAGACGGAAAGCTGAAGGTGAATTGATGCCAGGGGCACAATCACCTGTGACTGAGGCTGGGCTGGCAGGATTTGAAGGCCTGGCCCTCCTGGGTCTGCAAGTGAGGGCACCTGCCCACAGCCTTGGTGTCACCTGGGCTTCCTCACAGAATGGTGGCTTCTGCTTCAGGGTAGCTGGATTTCCTATGGACTGTCTTGGGGACCCAAAAGCAAGTGTCCTAGCCACAGGGCAGGACTGTGGGTATCACGTTGGGGGAGTCATTAGCTGGCCTAGATTCTAGGGGAACACCCCATCTTTTGATTCAAGGAAAAACAACCTCACCTCATTTCTATGATCACCACACCTGAATTCTCTCCAAACCCTGTGGTCACTACGAACTCCTGTGAAGCTGTCATTAATACCATCTGGCCTGCAACAAGTTTTCAGAGAAAGGGAAAGCAGGTCCCCAGAAAACACTGTCCCAAAGAGCAGTGAAGAGCCTAAGACAGTGCCTGGCATTGTCCTAGTTGCCATCTCATTAACATCTTATTAAGGTCATTTGCTCAACAAATACTCCCAAAGCCCCTGCCTTGCTGTGGCTTAACAATGCGACTCCAAGGAGCTTATGGGATTAGGGTTTGCAATCCTCAAGATGAGGCACAGAGAAAGCCTGGCACCCCAGCATGCAGCGCCACCAGGCCAGGAAGCTCTACGCTGCAATCCCCACGTCTTCCAGGAACTTCTGGAGTCAGGGCTGCCAATAATTTGACGCCCCTGTGACAACAGGGGCTTCTAAAGACAACTGCTTTCTCAGACAGGGGCAGCAGGGACAAAGGCTCACTGGCCACTCCCACTTAGCTAAGCTCCAGATAAAGTCAGGACTGGCACCTTCACAGTAGCATCCTATACCCCGGCTCTAGCCCTCGCCCAGTTTCTGTTACCCAGCCCTGGAACCTACATGTACTTCAAAAATATTAAGAGGAACCAGAGAAATCAAAAGCAAAACCAAACTAAATCAATGCTGAAGAAAGAAGGCCTGGCCCCCCTGGGTCTGCAAGTGAGGACACCTGCCCACAGCCTTGGTGTCACCTGGGCTTTCTCACAGAATGGTGGCTTCTGCTTCAAGGTAGCTGGATTTCTTATGGACTGTGAAGACACATGGATCAGTTAAGAAAGGCTGAGGCAAGATGACGGAGTGGCTGGAGAATGGGACAAAATTCCCCATGGTCAGACACAGAAGGGGGGCAGCGGCAAGTGGCAGGTCAGAGGAAGAGAGCAGGTGGCCCATGACCCTCACCCCCAAACACCCCACGACCAAGCAGGGAGGCTCTGGGCACCAGGCCTTTTATTACCACAGCACTCTGCAGGCTGGGCCCACCCTGCTGGACGACCCCGGAGACAAGACTGGCGGTCCCTGTAGGGACAACAGAGCTGTGCTAGGGGAGTGCGTGGCTCCTCCCTGTTCAGGGCACTTCCTTGGTGGTACATGGAGGTCCTTCCTCTCTGGAGACCCCAGGCTCAGACAGTCCACTTCAGACACCTGCAGGCAAACAGGAAGAGGAAGAGGAAGAGGTCTAGGGAGCCACAGAGGGGCAGTGAGTGTGGACAGGGAGGCCACAGCTCACCTGGTCTCCTGGTGGGTGCCCAGACAGCGCACCGTGCAGTACCGCGCTCCGCAGCTGACGCAGGTGTAGGGGGAAGGGAAGCCGCACACAGCACAGAAGGGGCGCTGGGGCCGGGACGGGGGCCCTGCGCAGGCCGTCAGGTAGTTGGGGCCCTCTGCCACGCTCAGGTTCTGCAGAGACAAAGCGGGYGGGCTCTGTGAGCCTGACGCAGCCAACACCTGCCAGGCAGGATCTCCAGGGGCTCCCCCTCCCCACGGTCCTCTGGCGTGCCCTTCTCACCTGCTCCTCCAGCAAGGCCTGGAAGTTTTTTCGGAAGCGAAGTTTAAAATGATCACCTCGAGTTTTCTTTTTTTTCTTTCCTAGGAGACCAGAGAGATGAGTCACTTGACAATTGCAGAGAAGGAGCAGCTCTCTCTGGCTTGCCACAGGGGTGCAGTCTGTCTGTCCCGCCCTACCAGCCTTTGCCCTTTACCCCACTCCCCCAGTCAGGCCCCACCAGCTCTAGGTACCCCAGCTCTGAGGCCCACGTCAGCTCATCCACTCTTTCCTTACTCTGTGTACAAGAGAAACTGAGACGCAGTGACTCATAGCCACGAGGGCCAGCAGACGCCCGGGTCAGGGGCCTCACGGCCCAGTGTCCTTCCACAGTCCTGACCTGGGCCTGTCCCTCCCTTCCTCCTCGTCCGCCTTACCAGTGTCTGCATCATCGTCAAACTGAGGCAGCCTCTTGCCGAGCTGGGGGAGGCCTGCGTGGGGGTCGTCCTGGAAGTTGTCATTCTCCAAGGCCTCGAGCTGCCTGTTGATGCGGCGCTGCCGGGCAGCCCGGTCCAGCACCCGGCGCTGTCCAGGGTCCTGGGAGCGAACTAGATGTGGCAGGGCAAGAAGAGTTATGGCCAGAGAAGAGGGACACAGGGAGGCAGCGAGTGTGGACGGGAGGCAAGATGACCAATCCCCCCAAGACACTGCGGGGTGACTTGACTATGGGCAGTGGGTGGAAGATGGACACAGGTGGTAGCCACGGTCCTCTGGTCTCATCCCAGGCCCCAGGCCCGTGTCCCTGTTTCCCACTGTGTCAGACCTCTGGCCCTGCTTCCTCCCCAGCCAGCAAGACTCCTTTAGTTCCTCAAGCTGCTTCCCACATTTTCCTAGCACTTCCTGCTTCCAGCCAGTGAAGCCTCTCACTGTGCCAAAGCCACACAACTGTGCCCAAGCCACACAACTGTGCCCACGTGGAGGCACGGAGCACCAGGGTTCCCCAGCTCCACTGGGAGGTGCCCTTGACCAGCGTCTCTCCCCACCCCTAAAGAAGCAAGGAACACACACTCCCCCTTCAGACCACCCACAAACACTCCTGCTGGGCCCACCCTCTCCACTCTCCAGGGGCCTGTGACTGAACCCAGCCCTTCTCCTCCAGCTTGAGTCCATCCCTAACCTCAGCACCCTCCACCGGCCTCAGCTGGACTTTCCCTTCAGGAGAATAAATTGCTGCCAGCGTGTCTACGCTTCCAATGGCCTAATCTTTTCCCTTCGAGAGGGTCTGAGTGATGTCCTCACCTCCCACCTACTCCTCAACCTCTAGCAACCTGACTCCTGCCTGACTTCAGTGCTGGCCACGGGTGACCGCCTGGGGCCACTCCAGAGTGCATATCTAGCTCAGTTCTTCGTCTTGCATGTCTCTGCCCTGTGACCGTGCTGCCCACCCTCCTGGGGGTAAAGGATCCCTATTTCCTTGGCGTGGCTCCAGCTTTCCTCCTTCTCCCTCTCTGGACTCTCAGTCTCCCGTCTTGGCTGCCCCTGAGCCTTCTCTGCCCACCCCTTCTCCCTCTCAGTCTACACCCTCTTCCCTGCCCCTGAGCCTTCTCTGCCCCTGAGCCTTCTCTGCCCACCCCTTCTCCCTCTCAGTCTACACCCTCTTCCACAGGGCTCTGCCTATAACCCACATGCAAATAACTCCAAACATGATCGTCTTGGCCCAGAATCCTCTCCTGAGCTCCAGAATTGGCTCCAGGACATCAGCACTGACCCTCTGATTATTGCACCTCAATATGGAACATCTTCCATCCAAGTCTGCCTCTCCCTGCGGCCAGAGTGAACGGACGCACTGCGTACATCCACACAGAGCCCTAGCAGTCCACTCATCCTCTTTGTCACCCCATCAGCTACTCGCCAGGTTCTGATAATTCTACACAAAATATCTTTGTTTATCAGACAAGTACCAAGCGTGTGTTCATCATGACAATAGCAGCAGTGCCAGCAGCCACCACTTGCCAGACACATACTCTGAGCTAGGCACCATACAGTTGGTCCTCCCTGTCCACAGGTCCCACATCCATGGATTCATCCAACCCCCAGATTGACAATATTTATTCAAAATGCACCTGCACTCAACAGGTACAGACTTATTCCCTAAACAACACAGTGTAACAACTAGTTCAGTAGCATTTACATTGTATAAGGTATTAAAGTAGATAGAGATGATTCAAAGTAAAGGAGAGGATACACACAGGTTATGTGAAACCATTACACCATTTTATATGTGAGACTTTAGCATCTATGGATTTTGGTATCCAGACAGAGGGGGTGTCCTGGAACCAATCCCCCATAGATTCTGAGGGGTGACTTACTAAACAATTAGCATAAACTGAATAATTTAATCATCACAACAACCCTTTGAGATAGGTATCAGTTCATCTCAACTTACTGATGTTTGGAAGTTAAAAAATGTTTCCAGGGCTAGGGTTGTGGCTCAGTGGTAGAGCACTTGCCTAGCATGTGTGAGGCACTGGGTTCGATTCTCAGCACTGCATATTATTTAAATAAACAAAATAAAGATCCATTGACAAGCAGAATGTGAATATATATATAATACAACTAGAAAAATATATATATAAAGAAATATTTCCAGAGTTTGCACAACTAGTAAATGGCCAGGTCAGAATTCAATCCCAGAACCAAGCAACATCAAAACACACATTTTTTTKTTTTGTTTTGTTTTGTTTTGGATTTGGTGGTATTGGGGACTAAACCCAGGGGTGCTTCACACTGAGCTACACCTTCCTCCCCACTGAAATTTGCAATCTTCCTGCTTCAGCCTCCTGAGTAGCTGAGATTACAGGTGTGTGTCATCATGCCTGGCTTAAAACACATGGTCTTGCCGGGCCTGGTAATGAACATCTGTAATGCCAGTGGCTCGGGAGGCTGAGGCAGGAGGATCACAAGATCAAAGCCAGCCTCAGCAAAAGCAAGGTGCTAAGCAACTCAGTGAGACTCTGTCTCTAAATAAAATACAAAACAGGGCTGGGAATGTGGCTCAGTGGTCAAGTGCCCCYGAGTTCAAACACACATGGTCTTGATCACTGCATGATGCTGCTTCCCTCCCGGGTGCCGAGTGCCGGGCAGCACCTGAGCAAGAGCATACAGTCTTGCAGGAGCACAAAGGATTTTAAAGAACAAGCACGTTTGGCTAGGAAAGTACTAAAAGCTTCGGAGCATAAGACAGAAGCCCCCACTGCGGCCCTGGGGTTTTAGGGAAGGTAAGTCTAGCTTGAGGCCCAAGTCATCRGTAGCCTGGTTGGGGGAACCAAGAAAGCTGGGTGCCTTTAACAAACCGAGGGAAGTTCAGCAAGACCAGCATGTAAAGCAAGTGGGGCGGAAGCTGAGATAAAGGCATGCCAGGTCCTCAGAGTTCTACCTCTAGATATTTAAAGGAATTTGAACTTGGGGATTTTACAGGTGAGAACAATGGAAAGCCAGTGGGGAGGTGCAAGTTAATTTAGCGGTTACTTCCTTTCCTCGGGACTCCTCAGTATCTCTTTAAGTGACCTTCCAGTCTCTAGACCTGCTTTCAAAAATAAGGTAACCACTGATCACACGTGGTTACTTATATTTAGTCTAATTATGAGAAAATAAAAATTTAAAATTCAGTTCCTTGGTTGTACTAGCCACATTTCATGTGGCCAGTAAGCCACATGTAGTGAAAGTCCTACTGTGGATTGAACTCCAGAGACACTTTGTCACTGAGCTACATCCCCAGCTCTTTTTATTTTGAGACAGAGTCTCAGTAAGTTGCTTAGGGCCTTACTAAATTGCTGAGGCTGCCCTTGAGCTTGCAATTCTCCTGCCTCAGCCTCCTGAGTCCCTGGGCTAACAGGCAGGCCACCACCAAGCCTGGTGGAACACCCCACACTCAACAGCACAGATTAAGAACATTCTCATCATCACATAAAGTCYTACTGGACACTATTGCAATCCATCTGCCTCGCTGAAGCCAGAACTGCCTTTCTAAAAGATAAACCTGCTTGGTCACGCCCCTGCCTTAAAAGCTTTTGATGGCTCTCCACTGCCTCTCCATGGAGTTCAACTTCCTCGGCAGTGTATGGAATGCTTTTCAAAACTTCACCTTTTCCCATTCCTCTGGCCACTGTTTGCTTGTAAGCTCCAAACTTTAAACAGGCTTCCTAAGCGACTTGCTTTTTCTTGCTCCTCTGCCTTTGGTCGCGGAGTGCCCCGCACCTCTGCGGTGCGAAACCTTAACCCGCCTTTCAAGGCTCAATTCAAGCGTTTCTGTTTCCTTCCAAGCCTTCCAGGTCTCCCTTTCTTAGGAGCTGGGGCGGGTGCCTGTGCCCAGGCGCCGTGCGCCGCTCTGCCATGGCACCTATCACTCTGAAGGGCAATGCAGGTCCGGGTGTCCGTCCCGCTCACAGAAAGCCAGTTCTGGGGTAACAGGGCTCTTTCTCCTCTCCATCCTCAGCGCCAGGGTTTGGGCAGGCATCAATAAAACTGAATGAACGGTTTAGGGGGCTGCCCGAAAGACCTGAGAGTCGGTGAAGAGATTTGAGACAAATAACTGAGAAAGTCCCAAGTCGGGTTTGGACTTGGGAGGCCAAGGGGTCTAACCGCTGGGGGCTCACATACCCGAAGTTTTTTTCTCCACCATTTGCGCAACACAGCAGCCGGACGAGCCTACTGCGCACGCGTACTAAATAGGCAGCAGTGGTTTAAAAAAGAAAATCCTACCACTTCCGGCAGCGTGCGTTTGTGCGCGTGCGCAGAACCAGCCCCCACCGCTTGTAGTCATTACGTGGTGTTCCCTTGGAGACAAGAAAGCTTTCCGCCATGTTTTATAGGGGCAAAGCTACTTCCGGTCTCAGTGTACTTGTGCAAATTTAGTGAAAGACCCGAAATGGGAGTCTTTCGAGAAATATTATTGTCCTTGGGTCCTTCAGAAGATGTTGCCATCCCAAAGACATCCCCTGAAGTATTTCCCCGGGGCAGTAGATGGGGCGGCCTGGACTGCGGAGGAAAGCGGCCTGGCTGGAGTGGGCCGACTGAGAGGTCCTTGCTGACCGTCTACCCCAAATCAGCCTCCAGCTTCCCAGGGCCGCAGTCCCGCCGCGGACTCCCCGGCCTTCTCCCTCCTTGCCGCCCCTGCGCCTCGCTGCCCCCGTCTTCCGCCCGACGGCCGCGCCCGCGTCCCGCCGGACCCTCCGCGCCCGATCACTTCCCCTCCGCGTTTTCGGCTGTCGGGTGGGCGGAGGGCGCGGCAGGCTCGGGCCGCAGCCTCTCCCCCTCCCCGCCCCGCGGCCGGCCGCCCCCTGCGCGCGCCCCGCTCGCCCCGCGCCCCGCGCCCCGGACAATCCTCGCCTTGTCTCGGCGCCTGCATCTCCAGTTCTCCGGGGCCTCAGGTTACGYCTTTTTTCCAGGGCGGAGCCCCAGCCCCGCTCCTCCTCGCAGCGGGCGGCTCCGCAGCCCGGGTTCCCCGTTCCCAGAACCTTCTCCCGAGTTGGGATCCAGACGCGCAGCCCAGCCTGGTGCGGGCCCGCGTGCGGCCCCGGCCTGCTCCCCGCCATGGCCTCGACCGGCCCGGGCCSCCGGCTCCTKCTGCTGCTGCTCCTGCTGCTGCCGCCGCCTCCTGCGGCCTCCGCCTCCGACAGGCCTCGGGGCAGCAAGCCGGTCAACCCAGGTGAGGACCCCGGAGCGCCAGCGGGCCGAGCGGGCGCTGGACGGACAGTGTCTGCCAACCTGGCCGGGGAGGGTCGGGGCTCCAGCCCCGCACGCGCCTGTGGGCGGTATCACGCGGCCCCTTGCCCACTCCCCACCCTGAACTGGAGTTTTCAGCCTCTCCATGCAAACTGACCCCGAATTCCTGGATGTCACTCCCACCTGGCTCTCACTGGGGTCAAAAATGTACCTGGGTGGGGAGAATTTAGAGGGAACTGGAAAGAAGAGGAAAAGGACCGAAGTGGAGTTAGGGAAAGGGATCGATGGGGTCCTGCAGAGAGTCAGGCACGTGGCTAGGAAGTCTCAAGTACCCATTCCTGGCTGACCTTAGAGAAGCTGCTGGTGATCACCGTGGCCACCGCGGAAACAGAGGGATACCGGCGCTTCTTGCAGTCTGCTGAGTACTTCAACTATACTGTGCGGGTGAGGAGGGGACCCTGGGTGAGGAGTGGGCTGAGAACTGGTGCCGGGCTCCCACGGTGAGCCTGGGCAGCCCTCAGTCCTTGTTGATTGGATTCCTCCCTGGTATGTGGATCTCCCACAGACCCTGGGCCTGGGAGAGGACTGGAGAGGGGGTGATGTGGCTCGAACAGTTGGTGGAGGACAGAAGGTCAGATGGCTAAAGAAAGAAATGGAAAAGTATGCAGACCAGGAAGACATGGTCATCATGTTTGTAGACAGGTAAAAGGGCCAGGGATGGGGGAAAAAGGAGAGGGTGAACATGAGGAGGGATAAAGATGCTGAGGTTCCCAGCGGTCTCCTGTTCATCCTCCCCTTCCTTGCTCAGCTATGATGTGATTCTGGCTGGCAGCCCCTCAGAGCTGCTAAAGAAGTTCATCCAGAGTGGCAGCCGATTGCTGTTCTCTGCAGAAGGCTTCTGCTGGCCTGAGTGGGGGCTGGCAGAGCAGTATCCTGAGGTGGGCACGGGCAAGCGCTTCCTCAACTCCGGTGGTGAGTGGCAGAGTGCCTGAGATAGAGGGGCTAAGAGTGTTCCAGGTGCCTGGGGGCTGGAGGGACAGTGGGGCCAGGCCTTTAGGGACTTTGGATTTTGAAATCACCACCTCCCCTGCCCCCTCCACCAGGATTCATTGGCTTCGCCCCCACTATCCACCAAATTGTCCGCCAGTGGAAGTACAAGGACGATGATGATGATCAGCTCTTCTACACGAGGCTCTATCTGGACCCCGGGCTGAGGGTAGGTGGGGCCAGAGAGGGGCACTCAGCCTTGTGCCTATGGGAGGCCTCTGCCTGGGGGAGGCAGACGGAAGGGGATTTGGAGGTGTAAAGAGAAGAGGGTGGGAAATGATATCATCCCACCTCCCGTTCATCTCCCTGCTCATCCCATCCAGGAGAAACTCAGCCTTAATCTGGATCATAAGTCCCGGATCTTCCAGAACCTCAATGGGGCTTTAGGTGAGGAGGAAGGCACTGGACGGTGGGCGACGAGGGGCCTACTGCTCGGGGTCCTGATTGGGAGGGGCTCCTGGTGGCCTGTGGCTCCCCTGAGTAAACCGCACTGGGCCAGCCTCGGTAACGAAGCAGCAGTGGGGCTTGTGCCGAGGTGCCAGCCTCCGAGATCTCACAGGGGAAGGTGCCTGGCTGTCTACCCTGTACCGATCCTCGGCCATGTGGACACTGGATCCTGAGGGCTAGTGGCTCACCCCAGGTCACACAGGAAGCAGGTGGAGCTCCAGGGTGGCAGTGCCTGGTCAGAGCTCTGGGGAGAGCAGAGGTTCCTGTCCCAGTGGAGCCACCGTCTAGGGGCCTTGCCGCCCAGGCACCCTCATCTCCTGGAGAAATTGGGACCCCACATTTAGAAGAAGCCATTGCTTGGCAACTCCCAGAGAAAGGGAATGTAAAACCTGGCCTTCCTCCCCAGACGAGGTGGTTCTAAAGTTCGATCGGAATCGTGTGCGCATCCGGAACGTGGCCTATGACACACTCCCCGTCGTGGTCCATGGAAATGGTCCCACTAAGGTGCCCTTGTCTGCCCCATGCCCTGGGCACTCCCAGCCCCCTCCAAGTCCCTGAGCAGCAGAGGTGCCGGGAGAGCTTCCTCCATACCCTGCTGCCCCGTCCTCTGGGCCGACCTCCCTCACATTGCCCCTGCCCTCCTCCACCCCAGCCACTCCCCGTCTCTCCCTCACAGCTGCAGCTGAACTACCTGGGAAACTATGTCCCCAATGGCTGGACTCCCCAGGGAGGCTGTGGATTCTGCAACCGGGACCGGAGGACACTCCCGGGGGGGCAGGTGAGGAAGGGAACCAGGTTGGGGTTCCAGAGCACCCTGAAGTGTGTCAGGCAGGGGAGCTCTTGGGAACCCACTGGCCGGCAACGGCTGAGGGGCAGAGGGGCCTGGGCTCTCCTCTGAGCTCCGCTGTTTGCGCCCCCCAGCCTCCCCCCCGGGTGCTGCTGGCCGTGTTCGTGGAACAGCCCACCCCGTTCCTGCCCCGCTTCCTGCAGCGGCTGCTGCTCCTGGACTATCCCCCTGACAGGGTCACCCTCTTTCTGCACAACAACGTGAGAGCCCCAGTCTCTCCCCGGGCCCTGCCCTGCCTGCAGCCCGCTCCCCTTCCCGCCTCGCCACCCCCGCAAGCGCTCAGCCCGCCTCTTCTGCCTGCCGCAGGAGGTATACCATGAGCCGCACATCGCAGAGTCTTGGCATCAGCTCCAGGACCACTTCTCAGCTGTGAAGCTGGTGGGGCCAGAAGAGGCCCTGAGCCCAGGCGAGGCCAGGGACATGGCCATGTGAGTGAGACCTGGTGGGGAGGGTGCGGGCCGCCACCCTGGACCACTCCATGGCCACCTCCACAGACAGCAGAGACCCTGGGTAGGGGCAGGACCATCCCTTTTCTTCCCCTTGGGGTAAAGAGGGGTCCCACACACCCCCTAGTCCCCTCCCCTCTCTGCTCCCTGTTGGGCTCATCTGTGTGGGTGTGTCACCTCCAGGGACACTTGTCGGCAGGACCCTGAATGTGAATTCTACTTCAGTCTGGATGCCGATGCTGTCCTCACCAACATGCAGACCCTGCGCATCCTCATCGAGCAGAACAGGTGGCCCCGCCCGGCTGGGCACCCCACATGCCCTGGCACCCCTAGCCACCTCACCCCTCCCCCCCTCAAGGCTCCCCAGGCCTCTGCCCAGCCCTCACCCCACCTGTCCACAGGAAGGTGATCGCCCCCATGCTGTCCCGCCATGGCAAGCTGTGGTCCAACTTCTGGGGGGCCCTGAGCCCCGATGAGTACTACGCCCGCTCCGAGGACTATGTGGAGCTTGTGCAGCGGAAGCGCATGTGAGTCTTCCAGGGCGGGGTCCCTCCTCCCCTGTGCAAAGATCGGACCCTCGCCCTGGCCCCCACTCTCAGGTCTAATGTGGCCACTAGGCAGCTGTGTCATGGCTGTGGGGTAGGTCCCAGCTGTGGATCAGGTGGCTGAGACCAGCAGTGCTTGGCAGACTCCAGGGCTGGGGTGTCCCGAGGAAGAAGCCTCTGGGATGGACTGGGCAGAATTGGGGGGCCTCCCACCTCGCTGACCCTGGTATCGCCACCTGCAGGGGCGTGTGGAACGTGCCCTACATATCCCAGGCATATGTGATCCGTGGGGAAACCCTGAGGACAGAGCTGCCCCAGAGGGAGGTGTTTTCTGGCAGTGACACTGACCCGGACATGGCCTTCTGTAAGAGCCTGCGAGACAAGGTGAGCAAGCAGGGCCTAGGGTACAGGGCCTGGGGCTGGGTGCTGGGAGGCCGAGGGGCAGCCACCGAGCATCACCTCTGCCCCTCTCACACCCACCCCACCCTGCGCCAGGGCATCTTCCTCCACCTCAGCAATCAGCACGAGTTCGGCCGGCTCCTGGCCACCTCCCGCTATGACACTGACCACCTGCATCCCGACCTCTGGCAGATCTTCGACAACCCCGTCGTGAGTGGCCCTCCCTCAGGGAATGCTCCTTCCCTGCCCTTGGCTAAGGATGTCACCAACACACAGGGGCTCCTGGGAAGGTCCCATGTTGCCGGGGTGGGGGGGTGGCCCAGAGAGGGTGGGAGCAAGGCTCCTCTCAGGCACCCCAACATTTCCCCAGGACTGGAGGGAGCAGTACATTCACGAGAACTACAGCCGGGCGCTGGACGGGGAGGGGCTGGTGGAACAGGTGAGCTGCTGGGGACTGCCTACCTGGAGACCCTGCTCCTGGGTCCTCCACTAGGACTGGCAGTTCTCAAACTGAGTTCCCAGGGACCTGGGGGTGCTCTGCTCAGGCAGGAGGGAGGCAAAGGCTGAGCAGGTGGGCCTCTAGCCCCAATCCGGGCGTCAATCACAGTGATTCTCCTTTCATCTTTTAAATACATAGATGTTTCTCAACTTAGGATGGGGCTGCGTTCCCTTAAGCCCATCGTAAAGTCCTCCGTCGTGAGTTGAGGACCCTCCATGTTGGTGTAATCATACCTTTAGAGAGGGCTGTACTGCTGGGCACAGTGGCACAAGCCTGTACTCCCAGCGACTCGGAAGGCTGAGGCAGGAGGATTGCGGGTTCAAAGCCAGCCTCAGCAACTTGGTGAGGTCCTAAGAAAATTAGTGAGACCCCGTCTCAAGATAAAAATCTAAAAATAACGCCTGGGCTTATAGCTCAGTGGTGGAGCACTTGCCTGGCATGTGTGAGGCCCTGGGTTCGATTCTCAGTACCTCGTATAAATAAATGTATGAAAAATAAAGGTCCATCAACAACTAAGCAAACAAAAAAAATTAATAAACATGYCTATGAAGGCTGGGGAGCTCAGTGGTGAAGTACCCTGGGTATGACCCCAGTACCAAAGAAAGAGGAGGGGACGTGCTGCTGGGAGCCACTGTGCCAGTGCCGGTGGGGGGCTGGTCCCTCTTGCCATCTGTGCCCTGCCCCTCCCCCCTCTCTGCTGACCTCTCTTCCTGGCCCGGCCCCCACTCGGGTGGCCCTCCCCGCCCCTCTGCCTTTGCTCACCTGTGTGCTGCGTGTCCCCCATGCGCATCTCCCAGCCCTGTCCCCCTCTGCAGCCATGCCCGGATGTCTACTGGTTCCCGCTGCTGTCAGAGCAAATGTGTGACGAGCTGGTGGAGGAGATGGAGAGCTATGGCCAGTGGTCGGGAGGCCGGCACGAGGTGAGGGGAGAGGGGCCGGGCTCCCACAGGCGGACACTGGGTCTGGCAGAGAGACCGTGAAATCGGGAGTGGGTGCAGTGAGGGGGCCCAACTGGGAGGGAGGCCCAGAGGCACCACGACGTCCACTCAAGGCATATTCAGTGAGCTGCTGGCCCAGGTGGCACAGTGCAGGGGCCAAGCCCACAGGCCGGAGCCAAGCAGGGGCCCTTGGGTAGCCGTGGGAGGAATCTGGGGCCTTCACTGCAGAGGCCACAGCTTCCTGAGACTCCAGGCATCAGCGAGTAAAGCTGAGAGAGAGACCAGAAAACTGTTCAGATGGAGGGGACATGAGCGTCAAGGCCTAGGGACAAGGGAAGGAAGGAGGCCGGTGCTGCCCCCAGGTGCTCAGTGCCCACTGCCTTCAGGATTCAAGGCTGGCTGGGGGCTATGAGAACGTCCCCACCGTGGACATCCACATGAAGCAAGTGGGCTACGAGGACCAGTGGCTGCAGCTGCTGAGGACGTACGTGGGACCCATGACTGAGAGCCTGTTCCCCGGCTACCACACCAAGGTGGGCTCCGCCGTCTCCCCCAGCTGGGGGTCTCCAGGCAGGCCACTCATCCCCTGTAGCCCCTGGAACCCCATGGACTTGGGTCCCAGCAAGGAGCTGCTACAGGAGGCAGCCCAGGGCGGGGAGCGGCCAGGTGGAGCCCCAGGGCGGCCTTGATACTGGTCAGCATCAGGCCCTTCCTGGCCCCTCCTGGACAGGAGCTCCTTGTCATCCTGTCAGAAGAGTCCGTGGACCCCCAGCCCTCCCTGCAGCCTCTCCCTCGTGTCCCCACAGACCCGGGCAGTAATGAACTTCGTGGTCCGCTACCGGCCGGATGAGCAGCCCTCTCTGCGGCCACACCATGACTCGTCCACCTTCACCCTCAATGTCGCCCTCAACCACAAAGGCCTGGACTATGAGGTGAGCCGCGGCCAGCCCCACACACACCCGCACTTCACCCTGGGCCTCCAGCCCCTGCCTGGGCCTTTGGGCAGTTCCCCAGGTGTTTTGTGAGTGTCGTCTCCTGGATCCCTTCTGGGGGCACCTCCCTCTGTCCCCCTGGCCTGTACCACAGCCCTACCTGCCAGGCCCCCTCGGACCTGCTCACCCCTCCATCCCCCATGGCTGCTCACCACTCCTTCTCTGTCCCCTTCCCTCCCCAGGGAGGTGGCTGCCGCTTCCTGCGCTATGACTGTGTGATCTCATCCCCGAGAAAGGGCTGGGGGCTCCTGCACCCTGGCCGCCTCACCCACTACCACGAGGGGCTGCCCACGACGCGCGGCACTCGCTACATCATGGTGTCCTTCGTCGACCCCTGACGCTCAGCCACTCTGCCAAGCCTTCCCTGCCACCGTGCCTTGGGGGGCCTGCCCCCCCATCCTTGGAGAGGTGGCTCTGCCCATCTCCTCTCTTCCTGAGTATGTCCCTTGCGCCTGGGACAGAATGTGTCACCTCACCCCACCCAAGGCCCTCTCAGGAAGCCCCTGGAGCCCCACTCCACTCTGCAGCCCCCGGGGCTCATGGGAAAGGGTTCCTGGAGTCCCCCTGTGATAAATTATTAAGGTTTCTCAGCCCCCTCCCAGTAAAGGAGGATTTGTAACTCTCGGGTCCATGTGTCATCTTTCATCTACCTGCTGACCTCGTCCCCCTTCCTGGCACCCAGAGGARAGGGGAGACCCTGATTTCCTCCAGAGGGAGGAAGAGAAGCAGGGTGTTCCGCCTGTGGAGGGGCCTGTGGAGGAGCCTGGCAGCTTCCCGGGGGCCCACATCCTCTATCCCCTTTGCTGCCTGAGCTGGAGAGTGTTTGAGAAGGCTGCAGCACCCGAGGACGCAGGGTCAGACTCAGGGTCAGGCGCAGATGAGAGCCCTGAAGAGGGAGGGTGGCGAGCACTGAGCCAGGCTCCAGGGACGGTGCTGGGGAAGCAGATCCCTCCGGAAGCTGGTCTCCAATAAGGAAGGACAGGGTGGAACCCTGCCTGCCACCTGCCAACAGCTGGGACCTATGCTTTTACTGGGACAAGATCTGGAGAGCCCTCTGGAGGGAGCCCTGGGAAGCTTCCTGGAATAGAACTTGGAGCACGCTCAGGGAGGGGGACTCCTGAGAGCTGGTCTGGAGTCCAGCTTTCAATCCTTAATCCTCACAGCCAGCCCAACACTAAATCCTCTAGACTTATCTCCCCTTGAAGCCCTTTTCAAACTCAACAGGCTTGTTTATCTATTCTGGGACATTCCTGCCTCTGGACCTCTCCCCACCCAAAGCTAGGATCCTCCCCTCCCTCTCCCTGCCCAGCCTCCCTGAAAACCTCACTACTGACACCTTCCTTACTGGTAGGGGGGCTGGTCATCGCTCCCCATGGGTGAGCATCTTTCTGGCCAGACTTCCAGAAAGATGTCCCTCTCACTTCATCTGCCACCACCCTCATGCTGTGACCTGTGGGTGAAAGTGGGCTGGGCAGGGACAGGAGAAAACACTCCTGGAAGGGTCCCTGGATGGGGAGGTCTGCAGCAGAGTGAGGCAGGCAGGGACAGGGACAGAAGGAGTACACCCAGGCTTTGTGACAGGGCCTGATCACCGGAAGCTGGCTGTGTCTGTCTTCTCCATTCATTTATTGACACCTGAACTCTAGGTGCTGAGTGAGTCACATGATGGGCATGATAGCTGTCCTGTCCTCTCCTCACTTAACAGTCTGGAGGAGATGACCTTAATAGGAGAATTGCCCCAGAGATGGGAAAGTATTTTATGGTAAAGAGCAAGTAACAAAGGCACCTGTGGGGGTGGGGATGATCAGCCATCCCTAAAGAAAAGACATTCAGCAGGATGCCTGGTACATCCCAGCAGCTTGGGGGCTGAGACAGGAGGATTGGGAGTTGAAGGGCAGCCTCAGCAACGGTGAGGCGCTAAGCAATTCAGTGAGACCCTGACTCTAAATAACATACAAAATAGGGCTGGGAATGTGACTCATTGGTGGAGCGCCCTGAGTTCAATCCCCAGTACCAAAAAAAAAAAAAAAAAAGAGAGAGAGAGAGAGAAGTGACATTCATACTAGCAGCTCAGGAGGCTGAGGCAGGAGGATTGCAAGGTCAAAGCCAGGCTCAGCTCAGTCCAAGAAAATTAAAGTGACATTCCCTCACTCATCTCCACAGGCCTCTGGTCAATATTGGGGATAGGTCAATACTCTCATGGTGATAGGATGCTCAAGAGCATGTCCCACTGTTTAGAAGGCCCTGTCTCCAGGGGTTCATCAATCTTTAGCCATTCCCACAAAGCCCTCCTCTCTGGAGTGACTCCCCCTACTGCCCCAGAGGCCTGAGCTGCTCCTTAAGGAATAGGCCCTGCCCCCAGGATCAGGCCTGGTGACTATATAAGATTTTCAAGTTGTTCTCCCTGGTGTCCAGAGCCCTGCCCTTCACAGCATGCCAGGATCTCGACTGGCCTGGCTCCTGAAGAGGCCTGGGCTCTGACCACCAGGACACTCAAGGCCTTTCTCCAGGCTCCTGGCCACACCCCAGTCATTTAGGTGTGGTCCTATTGGTCATAGCCTGTGGGCTCAGGGACTGATATTCCATCTCATTCAGGCTCCAGAGGCTCAGGGGGCAGGTCAGCAACAAGGGCGGAACCTGGGGCGGAACCAGGGCCAGGGGTCAAGGTCAGTGGATTGAGCCAAAAAGGAGGTCGATAAGCGTTTGTAGATTGTCCCTATGTGACTTCCCTCTGCGGAATGGAGGCCTCTCCCAGCCTCCTTTGCCGGAGTCTCCAAGCATTCGCGGTCCTGCAGTGGGTCTTCTCCTTCTTGGGACTGGGTGAGTCCCCAGAGCCTGAGGATCCAGGCAAACCTGGCACGTGGGCTCAGCTTCCCCGTTCTCCAGAGGAAGACAATGTAGGGCTCTTTGGGCTCCCGGATGCAGCGGAACTAGGAAAGGGCTGAGGGGAGGCTGGGCTTGAACACCTGAGCCCTGAGTGCGCCTCCCTTGTTCTCCAGGCTCCGTGTGCCTGGTGGCCCTGCTCCTGGCTCTCCTAGGCCGGGCCTGGGTCCTGGTTGTCCTTTACCTGATCTGGCTCTATGGAGACAGAAGCACACCYAGGGCTGGCGGCCGGCGCTCAGCCTGGGTCCGCAACTGGGCCATCTGGAGACATTTCTGTGACTACTTCCCCATATCGGTGAGGCCTGGGAAGGTGTAGTGGGGATGGGGCTTCAGGACACTCTTGGGACAGCCATCCCCAAAGCCCAGTCTCACCTGCTGGATGGGGTGCCCTCTGCTCCCCAGCTAGTCAAAACCGCAGAGTTGGATCCCTCCCGGAACTACCTCTTTGGCTTCCACCCTCATGGCGTCCTGGTGGTGGGGGCCTTCGGCAACTTCTGCACCGAGGCCACCGGTTTCTCCCGCCTCTTCCCTGGCCTCAGGCCACACCTGCTCATGCTGCCCTGCTGGTTCCAAATCCCTATCTTCCGGGACTACATCATGACCAGCGGTAAGGAGGAGGAAGTCCAGGCTCAGGAGCCTGACCCCAAGCCCCCGCTGTCATTTACTGGTTTCTCCCCTCCTCTCCGGGCTCCTAGACCCAGCTCCGCCTTCCCAGTGTCTTCCCCTGAAAACCCAGGCGTCGAGTCCCCTAACCTCTGCCCTCCTCCAGGATTGGTCTCCTCTGACAAGGCCAGTGTTTCCTATCTGTTGTCCCGTCCTGGGGGCGGCCAGGTGGCCGTCCTGGCCGTGGGAGGGCCCCTGGAAGCGCTGGAGGCAAAACCCGGAGCCTTGAGCTTGCGGATCCGGAAGCAGAAGGGATTCGTCAAGGTGGCCCTGGAACACGGGTGAGGAGCGTCGGATGGCTGGGGGGTCCACACGGGCTGCCCACGGGGAGGAGCACCGCGCGCCCCGCGGCCGGGGTCAGCGGTGCGCCTTCCCCTCCAGGGCCTCGCTGGTGCCTGTCTTCTCGTTTGGGGAGAACGAGCTCTTCCGGCAGTTCCCGAACCCCCGGGGCTCGTGGGTGCGGAGGGCGCAGGAAGCGCTGCAGTCACTGCTGAGCGTGGCCCTGCCGCTGTTCCACGGCCGCCTGGGCCTCCTGATGCCCTTCCGCTCGCCCATCCACACCGTCGGTGAGCCCGGCCCCTGCGCTCCCGGCCCGGCGCCTGCTCCCTGCTCCCCTGCTTCCCGGCTCCCGGGCTCCCCGGCTCCCTGCTCCCTGCTCCCTGCCCGCCGCGCCCTGGTTAGGCCCTGGTGTCCCGGCTCTGCCCCACGCGTCTGGCACGTCGACCTCGTCCTCCGGGCCGGCCTTTTGCAATCGCCCCAGGCCCGAACTCTGTCCTGGCCGATCCCCGTGGCCAGCGGCAGGGAGGGGGGGCGGCGGGCCGAGCATCCTAGTGACTGGCCCTGTCGCCTCGGGTTCCTCCCGCAGTGGGCGCAGCGATCCCAGTGCAGCGAAGCCCGCGGCCCAGCCGGGCGCAGGTGGACGCACTGCACGCGCTCTACGTGGAGCGCCTCACGCAGTTGTTCGAGGAGCACAAGGAGCGCTACGGAGTCCCCGCAGACAGGCACCTCGTCCTCACTTAGGCGCTCCCTGCTGGCCCTGCCCTTTCCCCTCGGTGACCGCAGGTGGGGGAGTGGAATTAAAGATCGGAACAGACCCACGTGTGTGTGTGTTTGTGCCCGGTGGGGAGGTCCAGCGCGCGCCAGCTCTCCTGGGGAGCCTTGACTCCCCCAGGGACCTGCAAACAAGTCTTGCCAGGGGCCCCTGCTCGGCTGCAGTGGAGATCAAAGTCTCAGCTGGGATCCAGGCTCCCCACTGGGACCCAGTGAGGGGGCTGGCCAGCTCCTACCTGCCCCCTGCCCACCTCACCTCCTCAGGCACCGGGTGCCGCTCCTCCCCTGCACACCCACTTCCCCCACTCTCAGCCCCGCCCAGAGGCCTGCCCAGACCATCTGACCGGAAAAAGTTCAAAGATTAGACCAAAAAGCCTAGAGACGGCTGAGGCTCCAGGTCCAGAGATCTCCCCACACCTCCAGGGGTAACCTGCCAGCAGCCAGAGTGCCAAACCTTCATCATCGGTCCTGCTGGAATGGGCGGCTCCCAGGTCCTTCAGTCCTCACCCTCCCTCCAGGGGAAAACCCTGCAGAAGCAGGCGCTAGAAGTAGCAGGTGCCTACCAATATGTGCTGACCGTCATCTTCATGGGTGAGTGAGCAGGGTGGGGCATGGCTGCAGGGAACCAGGTCACAAGGGCACTGAGGGCCTGGATGCCCCTGGGGCCAAAGGACACGGCCAGGGCCAGAGGAGAAGGCCAGGGCTTGGTGTTGGAAGCTGGGACTGTGGGTGCGGGCGGTAGGGAGGGGAGAGGCTGGACCTAATGACAGAATTGCAGAAGCCAGTCTGGTTTTCTGGGTCACCTCCCCCCAGGCCTGTTCTTCACCCTTCTCATGGTCTACCTCCTCTTCACGCCTCTCTGGGCCTTCTCTGTCCTCTACTTGGTGTGGCTCTACCTGGACTGGGACACACCTAACCGAGGTGAGCTCTGGACAGGGTCCCCGGTGGTGACAGAAGRTAAGCGGGTGCTGCCAGGGACCCTTCCACCCCCATCTCTGCCCTGCA